AACCACCTTGAAGGCGATATTACCTGAACCTTCATTCAGCCGATTAGATTCAAAGAAGTGAAGTAATCTGTGAGGTCTTGGTGACGAACAGGTTCATTTGACGCATGACAGGTAACAACACTTCCAGGTCCTGATGTATTAATAGTTAGGAGGGGCAAAGGTCTAGAGTGCCTTCGACTGCAGTCATCCTCGATGAACTACGGTCTCTCAGTTTAAATTAACAAGGCGAAACGCACGACTCGACCGCTCTAGTCTCTCCGCCATGATGTTTGTCCCTTCTTAGGCTAGCGAGGGTCTTGTCTGATGTGTTCTATTTTTCTTCCTGTTGATCCAGCGCGGCGACGCGACCGGTCATCCATCAGCTGTCCGAGGCCCGGTGGTTCCATGGCCCATACATCTGCCGGTCGGGTGCCTCGTGTTGTTGACAAAGAAAGCGGAGGACCGGGGGCCGATGGTCGAGACACGACTATGACGTGCCCTGCTGAGTCGGACAATGCGAGGCGATGAGTTCGCGCGTGCCGTCTCGGGATCACATCTGCCGCAGTAACGAACCTCAGTAACCAGGCCCCATGCAGACCGCATCCGCAGGCACGCGTCATGACTGGCAAGAGTGACAGAGAGCCGATGGCACCGTACGAAGTGCGCTTCCGTTCGTGTGTGTACGTCTATATATAAAAGCAATATATAAGAGCTGTCTGTCATCAACGATCGAGATCTTTACGAGTAGCTCTGTCTGCTCTGGTCGGTCAATCGGACGGTCAGTCGGTCGGTCAGCTGGTCGAAGCCTCAGTCAGTAACCGGTAGTACTAGTGCAGGCAGAATTCTTGCTCGGACAGCTTCGCACCGCTGGCCATGGCGATCGAGTAGAGGACCACCCTCGAGTTGCGCCTCTCGTCGCCGTTTCGATCACTCGTTGTCGTTCCTTTGGCCGGAACCATCGTCGGTCGATCCGATCGGTCGGTCGGTCCGTCCGTCCGTCAGTAGCAAGTTAGTTGGCGACCGTCCAAACCCAGCGTGCCGTGCGTTGCTATGCCGTTGAGCGTAAGTACGCAAAAAGTTATCTATCGCCGTCCGCTATCCGCCGTCCACCGTCCGCTTGGCCAAGGACAGCTCTAGACTTACTTGTACACAGTTGGGAGTAATCGTATCGGCTCGGCGTTCCGGGCGGTCCATCTGGTAACTGTATCGTCGTAGACGTCGGTTTCTGTAACTGAAGCCACACTTCTAGACCTACAGGACCGTGGACAATCAAGGTGTCCGGTTCAGAACATACCCTTAGGTGCACAGGTGCCTTCCTGAGGTGGTCATACTTCGGCAACGACTGCCCATGAGCGTAGCTTACAACTGACTCTAAACCACCCGAGGGTGCTACACTTTTCCATCACCTTTCTGTTTATTGAGGAGAATGTCATGATATTTACTTGAGTGGCGTTTTGCTAATAAATTATTTATATAGACACTGCATGAGTCCTCCAAAACCAGATTTAATGGCGTATTGCACCGCCTTCTTGCTCCAATTTTCCTGGAGGACGCCGCATTTAGGCAGACCACGTCCGTATATTTGAACGCCTGCAATGTCGCATGTATTTCGCATCATTTTGTCTGCTGGGCCCACGTCGTTCTCATCATGACCGATGATTCAGGAGCTGGTACTCTTCAAATATTATCACATAAAGATCATAAGTTGGTCTACGCCTGAGTATATCAAATGAGGCTTGGTTCCTCCACGATCAGATTATAACAGTTAAATAAATTATTTCATTTTAATTTAAGCACGATGGCCTTGGAAAAGTTGGAAAACAATTTGCCCCACGATTTAGATCAAATCATAAATTTTATGTGAACTTAAGGTACCTGAACTGAGTCTACGCTTTCCCTTAGACCAGATTTTGGGGATGATGCGATAACGTGAGATTTATGGTAAATAACTTGCTGCCTATACCAGTATGCCGACGGATTATCTTCTCTGTGGTAAAGTATATGAAAATTCCTTTTGTTTGAGCACGTTATCATTACGGTCAAACCAACGCAAATCAACCATAGACAGCGACGGGTATAGTAGCAGCAAGAAGGCGGACGTTCGTCACTACAGAACGACTTGTACGTTCATTTGACTCGATGCTGCTCTACCCAGCTCTGCCTCCTTGGGACAGGAAAGACTTGAGGCCTGATTCCATGCCTGTTAATTTCATCAGATTGCTGCAAGAGCACGGCTAAACTAAGCGCATCTATCCGCTTGATTGTCGGCGTTCCGGAGAATTTAGCCAGTCCTACTAACTGAGTCCGGGCTAACTTTCTTGCAGAGCAATCGTGAGTACTTCTCCCAGTTTAGGGCCAGTTTAGGGTGGCAGAACCACTAGTAAGGAAGTCTCTTCTCCGTCCCTGAGTATCACTAATGGTAGAGTCACTCTGGTAGATTCATAGACTTAAATATCGTACACAGATCACACGTTGATGACTCTCAAGTCTAGCGAAAGTTGGTAACACGCTGTTGAATGCCCCTAAGATCGTCGTATTGAAACTGACCATTGAGCACCGACCGAATAGCAAATTCAACTATTCGATATCGACTTGTCTTGATTCCACTTACCGCCTCAGTTAACTCATACGTCAGCATCATTAGCGTCGGTCTATCTCAGTCAACTGTGGGACGAGTTACTTCTCTAACACTTTTCAGAACTATGTTTCCTGTATTCCGCATCAAAGTTTTAGAGCCTATTTTTGCCTCATCGATCATTTTTTACTTCTTGATGTATAATTGAGTATATTCATTATCCAGTGCTGATCACACCATTTTGGAACATATACAGCTATTTACAATTTCACATTCTCTGAACTATTACGCTGAAGATTTCGGTTTGTGCTCATCGCTCTTACCCAGTCGTTTCTTTTCCTATCATTCATGTGATCCACAGATTCACACATGCAGGGTGCACTTTCCGAATCGTTCTAGAGTTCCATGTCCAAGTGTGACATTCATGAAGGAGTTTCAACGCTACTCACAGTCGAGGACTTTCGTTTTCAATGGTAAATGCGCCACCCCTTGAGGTTCTACTCAATTTTCGAAAAGCTCT